ATGGTCCCTCCCTTAAAGTCTGTCTTACCATCTTTAACAAGTGTCATGAATAATTTTTTTTGTAACAGAACTCATGTGCTTCCTGCTCCTAGGCAGGGTATATGTGGGACACTGAGGATTCTGTTCTCTTTCTATCCAAAAAAGACTGGGGCAGGGGGGCAGGTGGTCATTCAACAGATAGTTATTAGAACCCCCACTGGGTTCCATTCTTTGTGAAAGAGTTAGAGACTGAGACCCTGTGCTCTAGGCTCACAGGCTTGCTAGGTCACAGTCAAGGAAGCAGATACATGTCATACTGTATAACACATCCTGAGGCTTCACAGAGGTTGTGTGAGCTGAGCTTCGAAAAACGAGTGGGAGATAAAGGGTGTGGGGGAATCAGCATGTGCAAAACAACAGAAAGACAAATAACAGATCTGATTGAGATATGGTATGCAGTGGAGAGAGGACAGCAGAGATGTCCGGGGTGTGATGATGAAGGGCCTTCCATGACATACTAAGGAGTTGGGACTCATCTGGTGAGCAGTGGAGAGATGCTTTATGTGGAGACAGGTATGGTATATCAAATATGAATTTTAGAAATAAAATTCGGGGAGCAAAGTGGATAGGGCTAGGACTGGCCAGGGAGACAAATGAAACACTGCATGTTTGTGCAGTTAAATGGTCTAGGGTGGGGACCTAACCTAAATTAGGCCAACTGGAATCCTTTCCCTGAGAATCTGGAATTGGGGGAGAGAGAACTATACCCTTACTCATTTCCGTTATAAGCCTAGTGACTTATAATGGAAATCTGAGAGTGGTGAATGACCATCTTTCACTTGGCAAATGGTCTGAGTAGTAGAGAAAACCAATTCCCTAGAAGCATCAATATGTTGCATGGAAAGGACTCAAATCTAGACACAGAGACTACTCTCCAAGCTCTTGGGGCCTTCCAGCAGCTGTTTCCATTTCTTACTGAGGCCCAGCTTGATTTTTGCCCTGAGTTGATGACATTCTTTCATCCATTCATATAGTCTCATTTTTGGCTATAGTGTGGGTTACTTCCTGTTATTTGCATTAAAGGATAATTTTCAAAAAGGAAAAATCATGAATTCTATACAAATATAAAATAAATCCATATTAAACTCACTAATTAATGAGAGAGCCAGTAAGACACTAAGATCAGTTCAAATGAGTATTTGACTTTTAGAGATGTAAATTCTCTACCAGACAAAATTAATTTGCATCACCAGTAACAGGAATCATTTGCATTGTTATGGGCAGAAATATCTTACATTATTATCCGTATTTGAGCAGATCTGAACTTTAGAAATCTCATTCTAGTAGGAGTGTGGATACTGAATTAGAGGAAGGTAAAGAGACCAGTAAGGAGACTGTAGTAATTATGATGAGAAATGAGAGGGTCTGAATTAGGGCAGTGGCTGAGGAGTTATACAAGAGGAGACAGATTCAGGAGAGGTTTTGGGTATAGAACTTATAGGACTTAATGATTAATTTCATGTGTCATTGGGAGTGGGGGTAAAATAGATTGAACAATCTAGGATGACACCCAGGATCCTTCAAATGCTGAGTCTTCTACAAACTCTTTGAATATACCTTAGAAGATTTGGGGCTAGAATTTCAGGGAAATGTTGCAGCTAAGACAATACTCCCTTGTTTCTCTGTTTCTGGCAGTGATAAAGAAGGTTATTTCCCCTACAAGTTTTTAAAGAAAAAGATGCAGGGTGAGCCAGATGGTCCTGTGACTTCTCCCTGTCCCTGAGAAGTTGTAGATGAGGAACAAGTATAAACCTGGCCTATGGAAGTTGGAATCACCTCCGTGTTTTTGCTATTGGCAGCTATTCCATCTAGCTCAAGTAAAAAGATGTCATCACTGAACCCAACTTCAGAAAGCCCCTCACAGGGCACTCTCCTGGAATCAAACAGTGTCTTGTCTGTTTCTCTTTGGACATCTGCTTTATTCTTCTTTCTATGTACTAGATACCTTGGCCCACTTATCTCCATACTTATAGCAAGCCATGGCTACTTTAAAATGGAGGACCCTCTTCCTGAAACTATATGACCTTTTAGCAACCATTCTCATCACTGACTTAGTTTCTTGGAATTCTAATTCCCAGAGAGAGAAGATATATTGGGATTATATATCCACTCTTGGCCAGTTGTGGCTAGGAGTAGTGGAGTCAATTGGCATAAACATGACCACCTGGACACACTCCATCATCAGGAGCTATGTGGGAAGAGTCAGTAATCTATAGATTTAGCACCATTGAGTAAATCAATGGGCTCATTTGATAAACCAGCGCCTGCATCTTCTGTAACCAATCCACAAAGTCCTTTGGTTTTATCTTTAAAATATATTCTCTATCCATGTCTTTCTTCACTGCTTCCACCCTAGTCTAACCTACTGCAAGAGACTACTTCATGAATTTTCTGGTCATTTTTAGGTAGCAATCAGTACTTGTTCCTGTAAGTTTGACTTGAATAATTAAGATTTCTGGACTAATGAAATTATATTTTAAAGTTCAAATTGTAACATTAAAGTGTTCCCATCTCTCAGCATGGCCCTATTGCAGGTGGCCATGTTCAGTGGGGCTTAGTCGATGTCTGTCTTTTCCTACTTATCTCTTCTTCACGACCCAGTTTGCTAATCCTCTTTCTCCAAGGTTTGAACAGGGTGGAGAGTGAAGAGATGAAGACAGTTCTTACTTGACTAATTCTGTCACAAACTAGTTTTAGTTGTTTAGCAGGTATCTAAAGCTGACTCTCTTTTTTAGAGATTCCTTCCCTGTCAGTGGAGATATATTTCCTATACCTAATTACTTTAATGTGGGTGAATTCAGCTCCTCTAGTTGATCACTTACAACTCCTTTAGAAATCTCTAGGCATTTAAAACATCAACTTTATTGAAGTATAACTTACATACAATAAAATGCACAGATTTTAAGTGTACAGTTTGATGAATTTTGACAAGTATACACCTGTGTAACCAAAATCAAGATACAGAAAATCTACCTCATGCCCCTAGATGGGCAATCAGTCCCACACTCAGGCAACCTTCTGTCTACTCAGAAATCTCTAGGCATTTGACAGCGTATCTCTTGCTTCCTTCTGCTGAAGTCTCCTCAACCTTTCAGATGGTCTCTCAAGATAAAGAAACCCTTACTAGGTTTCTCACATGGCCCATATCTGATCTATGGGGAGAACCCACAAATCCCTTGTTCTGAAAAACAATGCCAATCTCATCACAACTACCTTTTCTTGCTCTGCCATAGAACAGATAGCTAATTGTTCTCTTGCTTTTTAGATTTTCCAGGCATAAGTCAGATATGAGGTCTTTGTGTCCCCCAAACACATTAGTCATACCAATCTCTCCAAGTAATTTCCTTATAACCCTTTCAACTTGAACTAAACTGTGAGTGGGACTCAAAGCCCACTGGCAATTACTGCCAAAGATCCCTTTCCAGTAAGTTGGGAATTTGAAATTTGCACCTCCTGGGGAGTGATGGAAATGTTAGCTATCTTGATTGTGGTGGTGGTTTAATTGGTGTATATTTCTATCAAAATTCATCAAATTGTACATCTGAAGTATGTATAGTTTACTGTATAGGAATCATACCACAATAAAGGTGTTTAAAAAAATCCCTTTCCAGTGTCTGAATTTCTGGCCCTTTTTTTCAAGGTGGATGAGGCAACTAAGAGTTACAACTTGTTTTTCACACCCCTCTTTTTGCATGGTTCTTACATGATTATCTAACACCTCACTTTGGGATGTGACATCTGCTGTCTTGGATCCTCAGCAGAGACTGAGACTCAACTCTCCCAAGACGGATGTGAACGACCCGGGAGGATGCTAATTTTTCAGGAGCTTTGGGGAATATTATTGGTTCAAACTGTATTTTTATAAATGCTCTAGGTGAGAGACTATGAGTGACCACGTTTCATAAAAAGAGGCCCATAAAGTATAATTAGAAAGTACATCCCGAAGGATAAGAGTCATTTTGAAAGGACAAGAGGCAAGTTTAGGAAAAATAAGAGGTACTTAAGTGGAAATTCAGTGTGTATTTGTACTGGGCCAAATAAAATTATATTGAAATGAAAAATAAACTGATGGAACTTTTTTTTTAAAAAAAGGTAGTAGTAGATTTCATTTGTTTACTCACTAATTGAAAAACATTAATAATCCAAGTGCTAATATTCTTCCTGGTTATAGAAATACAACTATGAAACAAAATTCTTGTCCTCAAGAAGATCATCATGGCCTAGCAAAGAAGAAAGCCACAATAAAATAAACATGTGAGGGATAATACACTCAAATTCTGGGAACCAAAAATAAGAGAATGTATAAGGTGCTCTAGTGCAAAGAAGAGGCACACAACTCAGAATAGGAAACTGGGTGTCAGTGAAGGCTCCCAGAGGAAGTGACCAAAGCCTCTGAAAGTAAAGATCAGATAGACATTAGCTACTCAAAGGAAAGAATATATTCTAAGAGGAGAGAACAAAAAGAGCCAAGATACAGTGGCTTCCGAAGATAATGGAAACTTCAGGGAACTGCAAATAATTTGGTAAGGCAGAAATGAGGGTGTGTACAGGAAGTGGCAATGAAGCCAGAGAGGTAGGCAGCACCAAGGGAGGAAAGCTATGATGAGTCACTAAAGAATTTTAAACTGACAAATGACATGATCTAGTTTGTATTTTTGAAAGATCATTCTCTGTGGTATGGATAATGGGTTGGGAAGAAGCAGAATCAGAGGGAGGGAGCCCTGGGAGGAGGATGTTGACATAATCTAGGCAAGAAACCCTGAAATCAATGGGATGGGGAAACAATAAGAGAAAGCCTTGAAGACATTTCTAAGACAGAGTATATGGAACTTGGTAACAGAACGATTGGATTAGAGGAACAGAAGGGAGCTGTCCAGAACAACCTCGAGATTTTTGGTTTGAGCTACTGAGTAGTGGTGCTATTCAGGGAAACAAGAAAAACAGAGAAGCAGACTTTAATATTCTTTCATTTCATTTCATTTGTTCATTTATTCAACAGATACTTATTAAAGGCCCATTATCTGCTGTGAATAGACAAGTAAATCAATGATTATACCGCCCTATGATAGGTGTCAGTGACAGAAATATACACAAGGGAGCAATTGAATAATTAGGATAGGTACGTAAATCACACTGAGGAATTAGGTGAGCTTCTAGAGGACACAATGCCCACTTTGAGCTTTTTTTCTTATTATTGAGGTGAAATTCTCATAAAACATTCTCATAACCATTTTAAAGTATACAATTCAGTGGCATTTAGTACATTCACAATGTATCTAGTTCTGGGTTTTGAACAGTGACTAGGAGTTTGCTAGATGAATAAAGGGGTGAGAGAAAGCATTTTAGGATATGAGAACAGCATGTTTGATGACATGAAGACCAGAAATAGCATAATTGGAGTGAATGCAGATGGGGAAGCAGTAGAAGAGAAAGCAAGGGAAGGCCCAATAGTAAAATGTCCGAATTTTAACTTGATCCAGAAGGCATGCAAAGTTCTTAAGCTGGGGCTTGACATGATCAAGTTTGCTCTTCAGAAAGATTTCTCTGAAAGTAGTCCTGGTGATACTTCAGATAGGGGGAAACCAGGAAGATGAGAGGGGAGATTTTATGCAGCAATCCAGGTGAGAGATGATCAAAGTCTGAACAAGGGCAATGGGAGGAATAATGGAGGGAACTGAAACAAGACATAATGAAGATGCTGAATTTACTATGCTTCATGACTTATTAGACATCAGACTATAGGAAGAGTATAGGATGATTCCTATCATTCTGCCTTGGGTGACTGGGATGATGGCAGTTAACATCCTGGGGTGAAATTTTTGGGGAAAATGTTTAATACAGGTTGGTGAGTTTCCCGAGATTCAGCCAAGTGAAGGGTCACAGAGTCAGTTCAATAAATGGATCTGGATTTTAGAAGTGAGATCTAGGATAGAGAGAGAGTTGAGAATCTTCTTTCCACTGGCAAATAAAGTCGAGTTTAGAAGTCACTCAGGAAAAGTGTACAGAGAAAGATGTGCAGAGAACCTAGGGCTGAGCTTTGGGAACTAATATTTAAGGTGTGCAAAGAGGATAGAGCTATATGGTTAAAAAGAATCATACTGAGGCCAAAATAGAGTTTAGCAGCAAGGGGAAGAAAAGTGGAATGGAACTGAAAAAGTAGAGAAGGCAGGGAGGGAGATATTGGTCTTACTTGAAAGGGAGTGGGTGCTGGGAGTCTACAGGCCAATGATATTGCTTGGATTAAGTTGTTATCACACTGGGGCCCCAACAGACCATACAAATCTCTCCACTCCAAAATAAGCAATTTATTACTTCTCTATAATCTTCTTAGAAACAATTTCCCAAGTACGTACAATTTCTTCTCAGAATAATTTTATGGAATGAAGACAAATATTCACCAATATTGACTTATGTCCCTCAAAAAGATTTTAAAAAATTCCCTACAGTCTCCCTCTCCCAGTGCTGAGACCTGAAAAAGTGTCAGTTCTCGGGTCACAGGGGTCAAAGAAAGAAGGCGGCGGCAAAGTCTAGAGCTGTCCTATCAAGGCAGGGACCATCTCCATTCTTTTCCTGGTCCAGAAACTCTCCTTTAGCTTCTTTTGACTGACTTTTCACAGCTGCTGCCTCTTTTTGCTATCTGAGCTGGCTAAAGACTCACCCTGAATTCCTCAAACCTGAGAAGGGGGCCTGGGTGAATATGTTTGTGTGGGGCACTGGCAAAGTTTATGGTTGCTCCAGGTATAAGAAACAGGGCCCAAACTCAGATTCTTAGGTCCTATTTTCTTTTCCCCTTCCTCACATTCCCCCTCTTCACCCATTACTTCCACATTTGTTTCTATGAATTAAAACTTGGAAGGGTTGGTAGGAGGGAGGCCTGACATCGCTTTTTCTTGAAGTGCTGTAACTCTGACAGATATCTAGGGGCTCTTTCTTTACCTTTTCCTTGCCTTACCTGGGCACAGCCTTCTAGGGAATGAAGAAACAGCTCCGGCAGTGAGAGTGGAGGGCAGATTTATGCTGGTTTTCCAGGGACTCTAGTCCCTTCATAATTCATACCTGTTGCATGAATACAAGGGAAGAGCAATGACTGACTCCCTTTGGGGTTTCGCCAAATGCCTCTACTTTTTAAAAGGAAAACTGTTTTTCTTGGGAAATTTGGCCTTCAATGTCTTGCCAGAAGTGATGAGGGCCCCAAAGCCCTGTTTGTGGGAAAATGCATAGGCAGAACGTCGAGAGCCTGCATGTTTCAGTCTGGTCCGGATTCGGGGTGGCAGTGGATGGCTCATGCAATGATGAATTCTGTCAATAACCTATAGCCAGAGCATGGGGGACAGGGGTTTTATCCACAAAGGCAAAAGCAAAGAGGGTCATGAATTATATCTGGGTAGATTCCCTGTTTTACTCACCTTGTCCACACTGACAGGCCAGAACAATGGTTTGAGAAAGTGGTACCCAATCACAGGCAGCATACAGAGGACCATGCTGAGGACAACACTCAGCCACATTTGTGGCCAGTCCAGAGTGTTCCTGGCCACACCTGTAAACAAGGAGCCAGAAGGGGAAAGGCAGAGCCAGAGCCTAGAGGAAGGAAGCTGTTAGCCAGAACTTAGATACCTCTTCAGTCCAAAGAAGTTATTGATTTGGAGTCAGTTTAGTCTTTGGAGAGAACGCAAAGGCAAAAGAATTGCAGTGAGGTCCTTGGTGCAGCCAAAGTCATTGTGAATTCACGTGCCTTTGTCTCCCTCTAAAGGCCGGACAGGGCAGGAGAGGTGGGGGTAGGTTATAGGAATCCTAGAGTACTGGCCTGGACACAAAAAGGGATAGAGCATTTTGGGGTGGGGAAATGAGTGCCTTGACAAGAGGCAGGAGCCAACGACATCCACACATCTACTCTCTCTGTATTTTGTCCTCATCAGAATGGAGATGAGAGAGAGGAGAGTTAACATTGGAGATAAGAAGGCAATATGCCACATTAGAAAGGACATTGGATTAGGAACCAAGAGACCTACATGTGAGTTACTTAATTTTTAAAACCTCCAGTCTCTAAAATGGTGATAATAATTCTTGCTCTGTCTACCTCATAGGATGCTTGTAAAGACCAAAATAGTTAGGACTTGAAAATATCTTAAGAGACTCTAATAAGGTAAAATATTTCCCCTAGCTAGATTTTGAGTCCTTTTAGGGCTGAGACCATGTCTTACACACATCTATAGCCACAGAGCCTAATACACAGCTGCTCAGTAAACATTTATTAAACAGATATACTTGGATCACACTCCCACCCCAACCCCCTTGCCACATACTGGGCAGAGTCTTACCTAGGAGTTGGAAGACGTTGGGGAACATTAGGCACAAGCCATCACTGTACAGGAAGAATAAGATGCAAAAGTAGAAACCCAGGCTACCCCAGGTGAAGATGTGGCTTATCATTGTCCAGTAGGTTGTCTCCAGGGCAATCTGAAAAGCACCCTCTTATGTGCAATAGTCTATAACCTAGGACTATCCACCACCTTCCCTCTCCAATTTTGTAAAGGAGGATGCTCCTTTCCCACCACCGCCCTTTCCTCCTTCCCTCCCTGTTTTCCAGACAGGCTCCCCAACCAGTCCCCTTACCCCACCACTGGCCACACCTGCATTGTGACCACACAGAGCAAGGAGGTCTGCACTATCGTGGAGAAGGACTGGTAGTCGGAGATTTCCTTCCCATCAGTGCGCACTGAGTTGTGAATGGTCCCCATAGGGATAAAGAACAGCACTAAGGAGCTGAAGATCCCATGCACTAAACACTTCACAAATTCCTTCTTGTTGAAATAGAGGTTGTGCTGGCCTGGCTCATACAGCTCTGGGAAACGTAGGCTCCATGTTTCATTCACATCCTGGAAGCACCAGAGGGTAAGGAGGAAGGCTCAGGGTCTCTCCATAGAAGGTCCCATCTCCATCAGAGTAGAGGCTTCTCCCCTCACTGAGTCTGCTTGTCAGGCTGCCTAGGAGCTTCCTCATGGATTACTTAAGAAGTGGAACCAGAGAACAGAGCAGTGACCACAGACCTGTCCTGAAGTCCTACTTTCTAGGCAAGGATCTAGGTGGTGGAAGAAAGCTAGAAGGTCAAGATTGGGGATTAAGAAAGGGGGCAATTAGAATTGGGGGTAGCTGGAAGGGAGGACTGGAGCTTGGGATGGGGAGGCAACTGGGACTTGAGTTCCCAGTTTAAGTGTTCCTTTAGTTGAGTATTCTTTGTGTCAAAAGTCAGTTGGAGAAAGTGGGAAGCCGATGGGGACGAGTTAGACCCTTGGAGGTATCTGTTCTGTGATACTCCTCGCATACCCATAGCTACTGGGGAACTCAGGTGAGGGAACTCTCTATGTGCATGACACTGGATCATCTTCATCTCCTAAATCTGAAATTTTGGGTAACAAAGCCCAAGGCTTGTTTTGAGAGGTCGTGGATCCCTAGAATTAGACCAGTGAAGCTGGACAGGGCTGTTGAATGACACAATTTATCCTTCTTGCTGCTCTGAGGCCGGCAGCTACTTCATGGAGAATTTTCCTTCCTACGCTGATGGAGACTGGGAACCATGATCCCATGATGTCCTCTTTTAGCTACTTTATTCCTCTTTGGAGGCTCATTTTCTATTTCACATGCCCAGGACTGAAGGTTGGGGTAGAAGAGGAAGGAGAGGTAGGGCACCAGGATCCTTAATGTCCAGGGAATTTCTCGGAGGGACACATGGTATCCTCTAGGCTTACTCCCTATGACTCAAGGTATCCTACCCACACTCCCACGCTTGGCCTGCAGGATTCTCGCCTAGGCCTCCCTGCATTGGCTTATCTCATTATCTCTCTCTGGGTCTCTCCTTCCTTGAAGCCCCTTGCTTTACCTAGACCTGTCCCCAATAACTCTATTTCATTTAACTTTTGTACACACTCCATTTACTGCACAGCACAGTTTCCATGTTTCTCTCTACAAAGATAAAATTGACACAGGAAAACCTGGATTTCTAAAACTGATGATTATTCTCTGTGGTAGATGATTTTTTACTTTATCCACTGATACCTCTCCAGGTGATGGGTTCCCTTCCTTGCTCTAGAAATTATTTCATTTACACTTGACTTTGAAGAGCCTGACTACTGCTGTCCTCCTCACTTCTGGGAATACTCTGCCCTGTGGCTTCAGCACTAACTAAGAGGCTTGCTGCTGCTCTTACCTGGTCAAAGAGACTCAAGCCCAGGACAGGGAGGGAGGTGTAGACCAGGTTGTAGAAAGTGATAAACCAGGTATCATAAACTGTCTGGAAGAATACCAAGGAGATTTCTTAGATTCCTCTCTTCTCCAAGTCTCACTCAGCTCCACCTCCCAGGTCCAAGAGAACTTCTGCCCTCCACCTACCCACCACCACGCTAACCTAGAGAAGGGTTGGATTTCTAAAATCTGATTAAGAAGGTTGACCCCACACTCTATATGGTCATATTCTATTTAGATCCCTAGTTCCCTTGTCCCTGGGACAAGGCCACATCAAATCTGACAAGGCTGATTTGAACCAACCCTACCATGACCTGTACTGCTCCTCCCTGCAAAGAAAGGACCCAGAGTGGCTGCTAGGCAACGCTAACTGTACCCCTGTATCTCTAGGCATGTAAGCCTCTGGACTCTTTTCTTTATCTGCTTTATGGTATTCAGCAGTTTCTATAACACTGGACACTTTCTATCACTGGCAAGCAGGATACACTCAGTGATCCTTCTTCAGCTGGGCCCTTCATCCTGGGCTTAGAGAGGGCTCCTTTCCTTACCAGCCACAAGAGGTCAGCAGCAACACATACATACACACACGCCTCCCACAAACCAGACTGGCTTTGTTAGATGCTGGGGAAACACAAGCCTACTACTGTCTGCTGACTGGTCTGCTTCCCCTGGAGCCCAAGGTAACAAAGGTAGTAGGGATCACCCAAGATAATCATTCCTGAGGTTGTTTCTCATTGGGAATCCTTGAGATACTCCTGAAAAACTTCTCATAGGAAAAGGGACTTCTTGTAGAACATCCAAATCCAAGTGTCAAGTCTTGGAGGTTGGGGAGATTTTATATTGATTAGAGCAACAATAGTGTATGTTTGGTGGGGTGGTATGTCTGGGTGAGGAAGGAGAAGTAAAGGGAAGCTGTGTTTCCAAGTACGGCTACAGGAGAATGCTATAAGCAGCCTGTTTGGCAAGACCCAAAGGCCCCTTGCAGCTTAACCTGTTCCATAAAGGTTACTTTGGAGCCTAAAAAAAAAACCTCACAGATCCAGGAATCTCACCCATCACCTCCATTACATATATTTGGAAATTCTAGGTCTCTATGTCAGGGAAAAATGTGAAAATGTCTTATGGGAGAGTTCTGAAGGTAGGAATCAGTCAGAGCCAGGACAGAAAAGTTAAGGGTTTAGAAACCTACGGTTAAGTGTAGGGTTAGGTGATGGGGTCAGCATGGGTGAGGAGCTTTATGGAGGGATGGTAGCATGTTGTATACGGGTCTCTGAAGGAGAAAAGGGGTCTGAGCTGGCTGACACAGGGGGTGATTAGAAAAGACTCAGCTGGCCAGAGTGGAAATACCACCTGGCCTCTCACCTGAGCAGAGAACCCGCTGTAGAAGGCATACCAGAAGTGCACCAGAGTGAAGGCAAAGTTTTTGTAAAAGAAGTAGCTGAGAAACTTGCACATGCGATTATAGGACCAGCGGCCGTGGACAAAGAGTAGACGCTGAAGATAGCAGAACTGAGAGAAGGCGAAGTCGCTGTTGAGCATGGCCTGCATTCCCTCCTGACCGCTGATGCCGACTCCAATGTGGGCAGCTGCAAAGAAACCCCAGAAACTTCTCAGCCACAGAGCTTGTTTTCTGGGGAAGTATAAAAGGAAGGCTGAGATCAACATGTATAAACGCTTAATATACATTTGAAAAACACTGGTGGGGACAGCTCAAAGTGGCATTAATACATGGGGCCTTTTCTCCTCAGTGGATTGCCCCGCTCCCACAGGTCAGAAAACAGTGCCTTCATCTGCACTTTGTTTTGCACGCTGCCACTTAAGAACTCCTGGTATGGGTAGTATTAGGAAACTGTCCTCGGTGATCTCTGCACCTACCATAGACATCTAGGCTCTTTCCTACTGTCTAGATGCTAAGGCAAAAATTTCTTATTATCCCTTGAAGCCACTTAAATCAATTAAATGGATGGATGTCAATCTAACACAGTATTTAATTACCTAAATTTATCTAAGGATCTAAAATCCAACTATTGGGAGGAATAAGTGATGTACATACTTTGCTGGTGAGAAACAAGTTCTTCAGGAGGTCTAAGGTGACTTTTTCTGGATAAAGCAAGGAATATGCTTGATGGAAGATAAGACTTAGGTTTCTAAGAGTTTTAATTAGTTGTAGTATAGGCCAAATTCGCTGGTCTTCTAGTATATACTTCTTGCACTGCTTAACAGAATAACTGAAGCCTCTAAGGCCATAAAAGCTAAAGAAGCTCTAGAAACTGAGGAAGAGAGCAAGAACACTTCCTAGTATTCAAACAAGCTGAGGCTGGACTATCTGCTAGTGTTTCCAGTATGGGGAAAGCAGCTGGACCAGGGGACATCTAGATGTTGTCTGTATCTCCAGAACCACAAGTTGCTGGAGGCTAAGAGCATTCAGCTGAAATTACCACTAGTTTCAGTCATTTGCTTCCGTTGGTCCGAAGCATCAGTAAGTTTGCTATTCTTCTCCAGCCAGGGGAGTCAGGGCAAGCTCTTGGGAATATTGCCTCAGAGAGGAAAGGATCTCTGCATCAGGCCTCACAGCTAACTCCCTGGTTGGGCAGCCCTGTCTTCTGCCTAACATTGATCAGTCCTACCACCTTTAAAGAAGGAACAGACCATGACTTTGGCCCAGTGGTCCTTTCTGTGGGCTTTGATGCCTCCTCAGAAAGATGGTGTTGTAGTTGCACAGCCTGTTGTCCTGTGAATATATGCATGTGTTTCTGCTGGAGCCACAGGTTACCTGTGTGTGTATGAGTGTTACGTACATGAATCATGTGTGTATGCATGACTGTGGATATGGGCTGATGTAATCATGTGCAAGTAAGTGGGAATTCAGATGTAGAGGATCATGAATAGAGTTGCAAAACAGTATAAATGTACACTACACATGATATGCAGGAGTGTGAGCCAGAAACACAATGCCACCCATATCAGTTTCACCCATGGAAGAAAAGGGCAAGCCCAGGGCTGGGTGCTACTGCCTCCCACCCCTCACATGCCTTTGATCATGCTGACGTCATTGGCCCCATCCCCGATGGCCAGTGTCACCACCTTCTTGTACCTCTTCACCAGCTCTACCACCTGGGCCTTCTGAAGGGGTGTCATCCGGCAGCAGATCACCCCCTTGCACATGCACGCCGTTTGCAGCAGTTCTAACTCCAGGTTCCCTTCTAGAGCGTGGGCCTGCAGCACCAGGACACATCCACATTTCAGGCTGCCCCAAAAGGCTCTTGGGACAGGACCTTCTTAGGCCCTTTCCTTCCTCTCCATACTCCCCTGTACTACCTATGTCAGGCAGAGTTGCTCCCAAGGTGCTCCACCCCCCAAGGGAAGCCAAGCCCCCAAGACAGTTCTAGGCATCCTCACATCTGACCCAGTCTCCAGTGGGAAACCAGTCACGGTCCCTCCCTGGGTCAAATCAGTTGATTGGGTTATAAGGCCTAGTGACTTTTTGGAGGACCTGGTTCTGCTCATTTCCCCCTACTTCTATGTGACAGGCCACATCAGTAATGAAGAGTTTGGAAAAGAAAGAAATATGCCATTGGCTTCTCTTTTCTCATTATTCCTGCCTACAGAAGGGTGGGGAAATTTGTCTGTCGGAGAAGGGCACCTGAAGGCACAGGGAATAGGGTAACTCATGGAATAGTGCAAGGATCTTCAAATTTCCCTGAAGTGGGTTGGACCTAGGAAAAAGGTTCCTTGGAAGAAGAGAACGGAGTTGTAGGTCTGTGTTGCCCACCAGACTGTAGCCATTGATGACCAAGCCATAGTTGCCACTGGGCACCTCCTCAGGTATCTTGAAGGGTATTCTGGGCTTTGCAGTGAGGTAATCATCTATTGGGTCTGATTCCAGTAGAGACTGGGGTTTCATCTTTTCCCTTGCTGACCTGAAAGCCAAGAGTGATGGTTAGTGTCTGACCTGAAGCCCCAGAGCTTAGGAAGGAAAGTGTGTCCCAAAGCAAAAGTGGGCAAGGTGGATACAGAGTCTCTGCAAAGTACCAGCCAGAGCCTCAGACTTGACTGCCTCCTGAGACCTGCCATTGCCTTAGGTCCCTGACCACCTACATACAAAACTTCTCCACCCCTACACTCCAACTTCTTGAGCCCTAATGCTTCTTCATAAAATTCTCTCAACTATTTTAGGTTTTTTTGTTTTTCCCTCATCCATTTCTTCTCTGGTAATGTGAGGGCCATACTGGGTAAAGAAATGGGTGGGAAATCTTGGGTCCAGGGATGGCAGCCTCCCATCATACCTGAGTTCTTGCCACACAGTCTCATTATCCTCGCCTTCCACGATAAACATCCCATCCATTTCATCGTCAAATATGTTACAGGCGTAGGCAATGTTCACAGCAGTCTCTAAAGGCAGGAGAAATACTGTCGCATTCCAGGGTCTTTACAGTATACAGGTACAAGGGTGCTAACAGCACGCTGTAGAGACCAGAGGTCCATATTTTCCATGGATGCAGTCAAAGTGTTATTTTTCATAAGTCAGTGGAGATCATATTCAAACATCCAGAGGAAATTGTCTACCTGGTACAGACTTGCAAGTATTTATCAATAACTAGGATCACTCTGGCTTAGCTTTCTCTACAAAGCCTTCTGCTATTTCTTAAAGCAATTCCAGCCTGGATTCACTTCTCCAGGCAATCTGGATGTATTTCCTTGAACAGCGCTGTGCGCATTTCTACGCTAGATTTCATAGGGAACTGAGATATGTTTAGGTTGTAGTCTTTCCTTTGCATCAAACAAACGGCTAAGGAAAAAAAATGAAATAAAAAATAAAAAGAAAAAATGGCCAAACTGGACAGGGAAGAGGACTGGGCAGGTGAGGAACTACCCTTTACCTTGCTTATCTCCAGTTAAGACCCATATTTTAATTTTGGCTTGGCTCAGGGTGATGATCGTCTCAGGTACTCCATCCTGCAGCTTGTCTTCTATGGCTGTGGCCCCTAACAGCTTGGAACAGAGATATCCATGAGTGAGGAAAAGGGAGAGTCACAGCATTTTGTGGCACCCAACAACTCAACTGGCACCTCAGCAACCTCCTTAGTAAGCTGGCTCTGTCCTGGTACAGGGACTCCAACGGTATAAAACTCAGCACACTCTGCCCCTCAGCAGACATAGCTTTTCAACCACACACTGAAACCAATTTTAGAAACACAGAATATTAAGGACCAAAAAGGGAAAAGACTTGTCCAAGTCGTCCATGAAGCTTTGTGCCACTTCTAAATCGTCTGCTTCATAACACACTTTCACGTCTCCCTTGCTTCATAGCACGTTCCTGGCTTTGGAATCCAATCCTGCCCCCAACCTGTCCCTGGCTTCCTCACACTAACCATCAAGTCTTTTTCAATCTCTTCATAGACAATTGATATTTTATTTTCCCGATCCTCCAAAGACAGGAAGGCCTCGCTGTGCTTCCTGCTCCAGTCCTGGAAGAAAGCATTGTCCAGTTCTCGGTAGGCCACCATGAGGGTACGAAGGCCGTCACTGGCAAAATCCTGGAAGACATGCGTGTGCACTGAGTGCACCTGGGTCGGGTTAGGGCTGAGTTAAGGGAATGACAGACTAACCCCACAGATTCCATCTGCCTGCAAAATAGAGTTTATTGGTTAGTACCACGGGGCTAGTACCTAGCCTAGTCAGAAAGCATCTGTTGAGTTTTTCTCGGCAAAACGCCCTAAGGTTGGGGTCAGCAGAGCTGGGGATAAAGTTTGAGAGTATTTCTGAGAGACAGAAGATTCTAACTTCTACCTGTCGTTAGGTCATTTGCTGTGTGACCCTGTAAAGAATGAAGCCTTCTGGGTTTCTTTCTTGTAAAATTAGGATAATAATTCACTTCTCTTGGGACTATACCTAGGAGTGGAACTGTTGGGTGTGTGACAACTCTATGCTTAACTTTTTCAGAAACTGCTAGACTGTTTTCCAAAATGGCTGCATCATTTTACATTCCATCAGCAGTGTATGAAGGTTATAATTTCTCTATATCCTTCCTAATACTTATTATTGTCTGGTCATCTTTTAGATTTTAGTTACCCTAGTGGTATGAAGTAGAATCTTGTGATTTTGATTTGCATTTCCTTGGATATCTAATGACATTGCACATCTTTTCATGTGCTTATTGGCCATGTGTTCTCTGACTTATGACTATGTGTTAATATAGGGTCAAGACAAAATGGCCTAATAAAATAGTATTTCCTCCAATCTAGTTTTTCTTTAAAATATTTTTCTGATCTGCCCCTTCCCCACCACATCCCCTGTTCTATTCTCCCAACTCTCTATATATCCAGGTTTAAGGGTAGAAACCCCAGAAAGCATGAATCTGCTTTTTGTCTCTAAAGCCAGCAGACTGGAGCCACTCTCTCTTTCAGATACATCTCAAATCCTAGAGGGTGGAAGTGGAAATACACTGACACAGGGACACATATGTGGACACACACAGAACCACCCACAGCTTCCCTCCCCTGCAACCTAAACACTTACATCTAAATGTTCCATGGTCACGTCTCTGAGGGATCTACAGGATGGATGAAGTAGCTGGCAGAGGATGGTGTCTGCACCCTTGCAGAACAACATTACACGGTTTTCAGGTGTCCTCACTAAGGATAAACAAATTAAGTGAAGTAAACACATAGGTCCATTATTACAAGAACCTGTCTGGGCCTCTGAGGGACAGCAGGAGTCTGTTCCCATGACATTAGTTTCTGATACCTCTAGGGGCTAAGTACTCAGCGAGTGGTCACACAGGATAAGTGATGTGCTGAGGGCTGGTGAGAGTGAGAGAGGACCTTTTGGAACCAGTTTTTTCATGGGTTGTTCAACATCACCAATGGAAGACTCTGGTACAGAATCACATTTAGCTTCTCAAGTCCAAGTTCCAGACCAAGGCTCATACCTAGTAAGGACCAAGGATGAAAAATGACCTTCTTCCTCTTCAGTCTGAGGCCTAAACTAATTGAGAGTAAGATAGTATGAATTTCCCTTATATTGTCTGCTCTCATTTCTTATTCTGAGTTCAGGCTTTATGGATTTATTCTCTGTTCTGTTCTTGCTTTCGAGGATTCTGACAAGCCACTGCCCAGGATCACTAAAGGAAGGCCCTAGCACATGGTAGTAGGCTCACATATGTGTATATGAGAAAATATAAAGGACTATTGGAAAGTGGGAATGGCTGTGTATTTGTACTTGAGGCACAGTACCTATGAAATGGCATGTGTGTGGGAAAAAACATTTGTGTATAGAAAGAAGAGAAAGTCATCGTGTGAATGTATATGAAAGACGAATATAGGGAGATGACCGACTAGGAGGGGCACCCACCAATCACAGACATCCTCTTGCGCACATTGTTGAAGTCCAAGATAGCCAGCAGTTTGTAGATTCTGGTTTCTCCCATTTCGACTATCATGATTGTCTCAGACGTGCGGGAACGGAACACAAAGCCAAAGTTCCTGGCAGCAGTGACCAGGGCACCTTCATCTGGGGACTGAGCCTGGTAAACCAGCTCACCTGGCAGGAGAGAAGAGGGCAGCCAGAGCCCACAGAGATGTGCAGCTGAAGTCCACCCAGAAGTGAGACTGTCTTTCAAGTGGCTTACATAAAGATGGATCCCAGGAGGGGATATCTTTCTTCAAAACTTCCTCACAAATCTGGCCCTAAAAGGCCAGGTTGCATAGAACAGGTCAGTTTTTTTTTTTCTCCCAGTATTTCCAACTAATTTCACAGACCTGAGTTAGTATTACAGAGATACATGGTACATGTACACAAACGAACAAAACATAGGTCAGTTACTCTCCAACTTTAGTGGGTAAAGATGGCTCAGCGGGGTGGAGGTGGGGGGAGAGGGTTGTTAAAAATGCAGGTTCCTGGGCCCTCCCCAAACTTACTGAACCCAGAATCACAAAATCTGGGAGGACGGCCCAGGAAATTGAATTTTAACAGATCTCCTGGGTATATCTCATGGAGATGGTCCTACATAAAGTGCTCCTGCATAAGGCTGGCTGCACTTTGTTGAACACAGCTATAAGATAATAAGATTGATGGTTTAGTAAACAAAAAACATATATGAATGAGTACTGCCACCTTTGAAACTCTCACCCTGGGAAGCTAAATGACTTACCCTGCTGAATTAATCTTTCAATTTCATATTACACAAGATATTTTTGGAAATCCTTTTTTAGAATATCCTCATAGCCTGAAGTATATTTTAAATTATTTCTCTTTTGAAGGTCAATTTGATTTTTAAAGTTATTGTATCATCAGAATCTTATACTTGTAAATAAGGTAGGTGGGGAGTATAATTTTAGGTCAGACATAAGATATGTTCATGGGATGATAAGATTATTTTATTGTGTGTTTCCTATCTTGTCACTCAAGGCAGTAAACAAAGATAAGTCCAAATATGTTTCAAGTAACAGCAGCTTGCTGGAATGTCAGACCCTGGAAGGCCTGTAATGGGTGGGAGCTCGTGGGGCCAGAAGACATGAGATTTGGGTTCTTATCTCATTTATGCCTTTCTTAGCTATAGGATTTTAGTCACTTAATCTCTTCAGCTTCCTTCCCTATAAAACTAGGATTACTCTTCTTGCTCTGCAGAGGGCTGTTGTGAAGATTGTGGGAGATAATATAAATGAAAGCAATTTGTACAACTGTAAAGTGATGTACAAATGTAAGGTGTTACTCATGACAGCATTATATTAAGATTACATTGACTTTAAAGGATGCAATTTACTTGGTTGCCTAAATTCTTGTTTGTTAAGGAAAAAAAAGTCTTCTTAATTTAAAATCAGTAGTTTTTCATTATTGCTAATAAAGTTTCTATAAATTCACGGATGACAGAGTCATATTTGGTTAGTAAGGAAATTATGGCACATGGGGATACTGTTAAATTGTGAAGTGACAAGAGGATGACTTAACTCATCCTTCAGGAAGTCCTGTCAGAGATAGTGGGGCTGGTCTCAGAAACAAATAAGATAATCTCTGTGACAGAACACCGTAGTCTCAAGACTGGAAGCTCCCCAGATAGCACCAAGTTGGACCCCTAACCAATGGCTCGACCTTCTTTTAGACCAAGGAGTTGTTTTCTATTGGAATGTCTTCAGTGACTAGGAGCTCGCTACTTATCCTGACTGTCCATTCCATCAATGGACAGTGCTTTCTATTAGAAAGTTCTTTCTTAGATTAAGTTGTTACAAATGATACCAAACCACCCCCACCTCCAACCAGCCTAGACTCCATGACGTATTCTCAGTCCATGAGGCCTCAGGTCCCTCCTCACCTTCTACCTTCTCTTCTGGTATCACAGTATGACACAACGAGAGTGACACGAAAAACAAGTGTACCCAGCGATCTCCCTTTTTCACTGCTTCCACTAAAGTCTTGTCATAAAATGAAAACTTAGGATCAGCCAGTCTGTTGTAGGAGAAATCGACTTTTTCTGTTTTCTAGAACACATAAGTCAGAACAAACTTCTCAACAGCAGCTTGATGCCTTATAGAAGGTCAATCGGGGGCAATTTTTGGAATGTGATGAGAACTCTTTGGAGGATGAGAAAAGCCAGACAGATGAAGGAGACCCCATGCTGGTTTCTAAGGCTTTTGCAGCTCTGACCTGGACCATCCATTCACTTGGAAAAGGTCCATCCCATAGGAGACAAGCTGAGCACTGCCTGGTAGACCCTTCTTGCCCTCTTTACACTCCAGCTCCCCTGAATGACCAGTGGCCAGCTTCAGGTTCTGTTCATCCGAGTCCCAAGTCCCTGATAATCAAACCTGAGGATATGAGAGGGTAACTGTTCCCCCCTGGTAAATGGTTTCTGGAAAAAGTTTCTTGTCTCTGGCAGTCCCTCTGCCTAGTTTGGGGAGCTGGGAAGGGAGCTAGATACAAAGACATCACTGTGTTGCACTATTCCTATTTCACCCCCCAAGTGGGCTAGAGAGGAGTACTGCAAGTTAGAAGCAAGGCTGTTTAACAAGAGGCTTCAATACAGGCTTCTTGTTCACAGACTTAATTTTAAACCATTTCACTTAACCCGTCAGCATACCTGATTCCTTCCTGCCTCCAATCCTAAAGGTCATAACTTTGCTTCAATCTTTGGACCAAATATTTACTACCATTTTCCTGGCTATGAGCATGGCTCCTTTACAGTGTTGACTATCATTCCTCATTTCAGGTAGGCTGCTGGGAACAACCTTGGGTAAACGCTTTTTTCTGGCTCAATTTGGTCCTGAGACTCTCTTATGCTCACCCTGGAATGGGGTGTTGTTAACAGATTTTTTCCAGCCCACACCAGAACTCTCAAGGCTATTTCACTAGTTCTTTATAGTTATGGTGCTACCTGAGCTGGGCCCCAATGTGTCAAGTACAGACACAACTGTCCTGCATGGTACTATGTTGGGGGAAGTGAGGTTTGTAGTGAGCATTATTGGCTCTTTTTTATATCCCGCCTAGAGGGAATTTTGTCATGGCAGTGAGGAAGTATGGTTAATTCCAGAGTGAAGTCCTAGACCTGGCCAACCACAGAGCTGTGAGCTCTAGGAAGTTTGTGGGTTCAGTAATTTAAGATATCTCATTACATAGCATCCTCTGGCTTTTCCAGAACTGGGCTCTTGTACTGGCACATTCTCTAAAACCAAAAGCTGGTGAGTGATGAGAGAGAAGCTGGAGAGGTAGACATGATGCAGATCCTGCATTACCATCTTATATGTAATAGGGAACCATAGCACTTTTCTGCTGGGAAGGACATAATCATATAGTCCTCTGGTAGCAGCATGGACAGTAAAACTGGAAGTAGCAAGATGGAAGACCAGTTAGAAGGCTATTCGGTAATTTACAAGAGAAATGATGAAGTAGTAACAATAAATATTAAAAAAAGGGGATGGTTGAAAATATAGGGAGCTAGAATTAATATGACATGGATATGAGAAGTGAAAGAGAGAGTTAGGAATAATTTTATATTTCCTAATTGGGCCCCTGGAAAGATGGTAAGAACATTCACTGAGACAGAATACCTAGCAGGAGGAGGTTTTTGACAGACCAAACTGGAGATAGCCGAAGGACGTACAAGTAGTAATGAAAGCAGGCGTATACAGTTTTGAAGTGCAGGTAAGAGATCTGAGCTACTTTCTAATCTCCCCTTCCAGGCAAGTAATGCTTGAGAACACTGGACCTGGCTGGGTACTGGACTAAGGCCAGGCTGGCTTGGAGCTGCAGTACAGCATGGGTAATCAAAGAGGGGCAAAAAAGGAGAACTAGTAAGGTATTAAGGATGTTTATGATTTGGGGGTACAGATCGGGGGGGCAAGATAGGAAAGGAAGTAAAGTCACAAGGGATTGACAGACTGGAGAAAAAGGAGAGCAAAGAGTTTATAAATCTTCCTGAGATAAGAAAGTAGGCATACTAGGAGTCAAGTACCAAAAGAGCTGGAGGAATAAGGTTTGTGATCAGAGATCATGACAAGAGAGTTTACAATTTCAGACCAGTACAATTCTGGATGGTGACATGATAACATAGAAATGGGTGATAGAGGTTTTTTTTTAGTCCAAGAAGTCATTTGAAAGATATATTCTTTCAGACATCTGAAAGCATCTATGGTGATAGATCACTCATAAATAAGCCAATACCACCCAAGATGATAGCAGGGGTTGGACAGAGAGGAAAAACATGAGCTAAGTTTCAAAGTCCTCAGTGAACAAGGTGGAGAAGCCAGAAGATTCATAAATGTCAATGACAAGAAGAAAGAGGAGTACAGCCAGAAGTCATAAGCATCACAGGAAGAAAGTGTACATGAGGGAGAAAAAGTGGCACAGGATGATGAGGACAATACCTTTGGGCTTTTGGTATAAGAGATGGAGGAAAAGGGATATTCTCAGAGAAAGTCATCTTTCAATCAAGGCAGGGAGAAGAAGGCATTTTTATGAAGAGACAAGGCTGTAGGTAAGTCTGTCTACAAGAGAACAAAGATTCCAGTGATCCAGTGGAAAATGTGTTACGGTCAATCAGTAGCAGAAGGAAGAGGAAAAGAAAAGAAATTCCAGGATAACAATTTATTCTCTAGAAGCTGTAATTTTGTTTATATTGCCAAGGTCATTAGCACAGTCCCTGGTAGAGGATTTTAGGCAAATACTGATTTTATTTCCCATTTCCAATGTCTCTGGATGGACAGGGGTGAGGGAGTAGTGAGGAGCTGGAGTTAGCTGTTTGGTATGTAAGTTAAGTGGTTAAGGGTTTGGAATTGGTTCTAATAGGAAAGGTATGGGGGAGGAGTACCCTGAATGTAATGGAAGAAGCCTTATGAAGAGATGCTTGAAATCAAATCCATAAACAAAAACTGACATCCAATTCTGGAGAAAACAATAAAAATGAACCAGGTCAAGATAGGAAGGATGAAAAGAAAGATAGTTTTTTAATTATGTGGGTTACAACTATCGAGTACCTCACAAATCATGAAGCTATAAGGGAAAAAGACTGATAGATTTGAATACATAAATCAAAAACTTCTAAACAGAAAAAAATTATAAACAAAACACAAAAATGGAAAAAATAATTGTAACATACGTGCCAGGCTAAGGAAAATTTGCTATTTTTACTATATAAAGAGCACTTTCAAGTAAGACAAAAAGGGCAAAGAATATGAAAAGGCACTTCACAAAATAAGTATAAATGGGCAATAAAGTGATTGGGAAGGGGAAGGAATAAGCACATAAAAATTATTCAATCTGATTAGTAATCAGAGAAAGGCAAATTAAGTATCATTTTCACCAATAAAATTTCTAAAGGTTAAAACATCGATACTCGTTACTGACAAGGCTATGGGAAAAAAGGAATTCTCATATATTTCTGGTGGCATTACAAATTGATGCAGTCTATCTGGAGGACAATATGGCAATATTAAATACATTAAAAAAAATCTAACCACCCTTTGACCAACTAATTTTACTTCCAGAACTTTATTCTAAGAAAAGAATTATCAGAAGAGAAGACAAAAATACACACCCAGGTGCTTTCCATAACACTATTTATAACAGCAAAAGGAAACAATAAAAACAGGGATTCGCTAAATCAGTTAAGATGTATCAATACAGTTGGATATGACACTCATTCCAGATGATGATGTAGACCTAAATATACTGACATGGAAGGAGGGCCACAATATAGTGTCAAGTGAATGAAAGGAGACTGAAAATAGCACACATGCTCTTCTTCCTTCCATCCTGCATTCCTATTTACCTACCTGCCTACCAGATCTAGACATGTATGCGTATATATACCTATGAAAAGCAACTGAAAGGATATATATCCCCAGATTTTACATTGGTTATCTAAGTGGGATTGAATGATTTTAACTTTCTTCTTCATACATTTCTGTATTGTTTGGATTTGTGTGTGTGTGCACAGATTATTCTTTAAACAGAAAAAAACCAATAAAACTAACACAAACCCAAATCCCCTCAAATAAACAGGTCATTTATATTATACTGTCTGGTGTTACAGGGCCAGTAACAGCTGTGATATTTCCGGGCCTAAGGGAATCCCAGTCTGTCAAAGACGCTGCTATGCAGCACAGTCTCACCAGCCTCCCGCATGCAAGTCACAGGGAGCTGTAATCACGCACCTCCGAGATTTCCACCTTCTGTCTGTTCTTGTCATAGACATCACCTGTGGGTAAGTAAACAAAGTACATACTTGGCAAACGTTTTAAAGAAGGGTTTCCTTTTTTTAAAAAATTGTGGTAAAATAAGAGTAACATAAATTTTTTTCATTTTAACCATTTTTTTAGTGAACAATTCAGTGGCATTAATAACATTCACAATGTTGTGCAACAATCACCATTATATATTTCCAAAACTTTTTCAGCATCCTGAACAGAAACTCACTACTCCTCCCTATTTCCAGCCCCAGGTAACCTCTAATCTACTTCCTATCTCTATGAATTTGCCTGTTCTAGATAGTTCATATAAGTTCATATTATATCATATTTCCTATCGTGTCTGGCTTATTTCACCTAGTGTAATGTTTTCAAGAATCATTCATGTTGTAGCGTATGTCAGAACTTCGTTACTTTTTATATCTGAGTATTCCATTACATGGATATCTTACAGTTTTTTTTTCACCCATTCATCTGTTGATGGACACATAGGTTATTTCTACCTTTGAGCTATTGCAAATAATGCTGCAATGAACACTGGCACAAATCTATCTGTCTGAAGCCCTGTTTTCTTTTTTTTTTTCTTTTTTTTTTCTTTTTGGTATATGCCTAGGAATGGAACTACTGGGTCATGTGGTAGTTTAAAGGAGGATTTTTAAAAGCTTATTTCTTCTGATTCTGTCATCCTAGACTTGTAGTCAATCTCTTCAAATCCCCTCAGACCATCTAGCCCTCCGTGCACCATAAGCCCCCTTCCCCAAGCCAACGTAAGAATAATGCTGCTTGGGCTGCGACTCCTCTCCTCAAGTGTGAGTGAGGTGAGCTTGGAGGCTAGTTGTCTGTCAGAGACTTTGTACCTCAGGAAGCCCTTCAATCAGAAAATTTACCTAGAAGAGACGTGAAAGTAGTGCTGGGATGTTTAGGATTCTTGGCTGTACGGATGGAATGGGGGTGGAAGGCAGACTGAAGCCAAGCGCAGAAATTCCTGTGACCCTTTCCAGTCTTACTCAGTGTATGGTCAGGTCTTAACAATCAGCAAGAAAATTAAGATCCTCACCCAAATCAACCATTCAAAAGTAAACTTTCACAGTTTATACATGTGAAAACTTATTTGGTAGGGGTAATAGAAAACAACCCTAACAAATAGAGTGCTCTAGCTTTAAATTTTTTTTTAATTTAAAGTTTTCATTTTTAAAATTATGGTGAAATTCACATAACATACAATTAACCATTTTATTCAAGTGTAAAATTCAGGGGCATTTAGTGCATTCACAGTCTTTCACAACTACCACATCTTTCTAGTTTCAACGCTTTTTCATCAACCCAGAAGAATGAATATCCGATGTGCCGTAGGTTTGTAGACGTGATTGCTCTCCTTAGATAGTTCTTAGCTAGTTAGTGCACTGGGCATGAATGTTCACACATATGAGGGTTTAACACTATCACAAAAACAAGCTTACGCTTAAAGCAGGAAATAAATGAATAACTGGGTATGGGATACACAATCAAACGCTGAATACCCTTTGATGGGTTCTTTCTAGACTGTTTATTGGTCTGAGAGGGAATCAGGAGATTAGCAGCTACAGTGATATGCTGGTTGTGCAATCTGATTTAATGTGAGAATAACTAACATTCCCAAGACATTAGGAATTCCTTGAGAACAGAGATTAAGTCTTAGACATCTTCATATTTTCAATGTCCAGCACAATGGTTTGCATCTACAAGATGTTAAATAAATGCTTTTTGGTAAGAACTGAAGGGGCTAGGTGATCTTTGCTTAGTGAACAGAGCAGGCTGTGAGAATAAGAAGTAAAATGTGAATTTAGAGGCATACAAATTTAGAGATTATTCTTGAGAACAATCAGCAAAGTAAAATTTCTCCAGGACTCAGGGAAAGCAGGAAGACATGCATACCATAGAATTTCCCATTAATAGAACACTTGCTGAAAGTCATGATGTTCCGAGTCAGGGTCCCTGTTTTGTCGGAGAACACATATTTGACCTGGCCAAGCTCCTCATTAAGGGTGGTGGTGCGAGCCTGCGCTGGTGTGTTCTTTAGTTCATAAAACATCTTCCGATCCCAGTTGATATAGAAACTGTTGCCCAATCTTATTATCTCAACACTAAGGAGAAAGCAAGAAAAGAAGCAGCAGAAGTGAATTCACCATCCTGGTTTCCTTCTTACCAGTCTTGTGGTAGAACTGAAAATCAGAATATCTTCCTCGGGAACCTATGATCCTGAAGGACCCTTCCTACTAGCCAATCCATTGTAATTCTGACTTTGACCATTATCACTCAGGGCTTTACTTGATTACCAGAAGAAAGTGATTAACTTTGCTGAGACATACTCCCTTTACAGCCTTTCTTCTAAAAATTCTGAAATTCTGCAATAATGCAAGGCCTGACAGAGTTAAGAACTAATTTATAAAAGCCTGCCTAGACTTAATTAGAGGATTATTGCTGCTGTCATGTAAATCCATCAGTGGGGAAGAGAGAAGTTTGAAACAGTGCTTCAGTTTCACAAGAGGAAGGGGAAGATCTGTGAGACTCAGAAATAGCTTACAGGAGCTGACCCTCTGAGAAATTTCCAGGCAGACACAGCCTGCTTCTGGAATAGCTTTTCCCCGTAATAGCCTCCTCTCCATTTTCCCTGAATTACCCCAATTGCCTTTGTCACATTCTTCTTCTGTTCCAAATAACATGTGTTACAGATTCTTTATGGTTAACAAGCATCTTCTTTAAAGCAATGAAGACTTTTAAGGGGCTTCCTTCTTATCATCATTTATGCCTGGTGTGTGTTAGTTTAGATTGCTTCAATAGTAATCCCTGTCTGAGACAGCTGCACTGAGCGACATGGGTTTTTTTGTTTGAGGTGAGGGAGGAGGTGCTCAGGCCCATGTTATTGACTTTATTAGTCCTTGTATGTTGAGTCTTGACCCTCCCTTCCTTCTCCATACCAGTCACCATAGCAATCTCTCTAAACTCAGACATTTAATCACATCCTTTCTTTCCTTAGAAAGATCTTTACTGCTTTTAGGATAAAACCCAAACTCCCTGGCATGGCATTCAAGGGTCTCCTGGATCTGATCCTAAATTACCACCCAACACCTTAGTCTAGGCTACTCACTATTCTGTGGTCAGATCAAGCTTAAAAGAAAATTGCAAACCTTTGTACACAGTGGTCTTTCTGCTGCAATGTTCTTTTCCTATTTTCTACTTGGTAAATTCTACTCTTTTCTCAAATACCAATTTGATCATTACCTTTCTCTATAAATCCCTAAGCCTCTCCAGGCAGAACAAACTCATTCCTTTTCTAGGCTCCCATAGCATTCACATATATCTCTATTATATCATTTTTCATATTGTGCCATAATTATCTACTTAAGTATTTGTTTCCATGGCTATGTTTTAAGTGTATCTAGAGGAAGAGTTGTCCTATTATTCATGTTTCTTTGTCTGGCAGTTAATATAGTGTTTGGCACACAGTAGGTGTTCAATAAATATTTATTAAATTAGTAAGATAATTTAGTTATATAGGGTGCTTTTGGGGTTGGGATGCCACAGTGCAGGGTTCAGGAAAGCTGAAAAGAAGGATGCAAAGAATGTGTTTGGGTGTTTGTATGTGAAAGGGAATGTTGAAAACAGAAAAAGGAGATCAGAGTAAAGACTTATTTTACCTATATTTCCAATTTTTGTCCAAGGTGCTCATGAAAAGGGGGAGGAAATATCATTCATCTTCTGCAGCTTTTAGGAACCAGAACTTAAGTCACAATTACACCTATCTACCATTTGCCACATTGCTTCTGTGGGAAAATTCATGTTGAGTTCTGAATTAACTGATTTACAAGTGAATGTTTGGAGTCTATCTCACTGATAAACTAGGGGCTGCCTGGCTTATGCTTTAGCATCACCGAATTTGTGTGCATTTTTTTCTAATTATTTCATGTGTTTGTATGTCTTATTTAGACATGTACATTATAAACTATTAAGGGGCAGTGATAATTTTCTTTTTGTATAAGCCACATAGTATCTAGCATGGTATTCTGGATCAGGAAAGCATTTATGCAATCTCCAGATATTTTTCAGAGTGTTTTGTATACTAGGCACTGTGGAAAGTAAAAGAGTTAAAGAGCACAGACTCTACGCTTTCTAAAAGTTCACATTTTAGTTGGGGAATTAAGCAGGAAGTATGAAGTCAGCTGCTCCCCTGATGATCAAAGAAGCCCACCTGACATAGAGAGAAATGGGCACCATCGTGTTGAGAATAATGAAGTAGGACCAGAATATGAGGACGGAAGAGACAACTGATGAAGAGACATATTCTTTCCATGGCAGAAAATCCCGGAAGTAGTAGCCTTTCTTGTTCTCCCAAATGTAATGCCCAATTGCTAGGATAAAACACATGCCGCATAAAAACAGGAAAATCTAGAAATCAAAAAAAGAATTAAATTAACATTTCATCCAAGATATGTGCTGCTTCAGTTCTACCTTTGGAGCCTTATCTCTCAACAAAGCTGCCCTCTCCTCTTGGAGGGTAAGGGGCCCCGGTAGCTCACAGCCTCTAGGCAGCAGTACACAGGACTGAAAAGAAAGCCCAGCAGGAGGCATCTTGAGGATTTTGACAGGAGATAACAGTAACCAAAAGATATTAAATATTAATTAAATGCCAGGAACTGTGCTAAGTACTTTATGTATATTATTTAATTTGATATTTATAATATCCCTCTTTTAATAATAGATAAGGAACTTGGTAGTAAGAGTGGAAAAGTATTTTGCCTAAAGTCACTTGGCTATTAACTAGAAGAGACAGGTTTTGAACCACTTCCAGAAACTAGGCTCTTAATTACTCCATTATTGAAGTGAGGTGCTGCTTCAACAAAAATATAAAATACACATGTGGCATTGGCTTAGCAGTTGTGGGTGGGTAGGTGGTAAGGAAACTGATTTAAAAGGTTGATAATATGGCAATCATGTTTACAGTAAAGAATTTGGTAAAACTGGAAGACAGACCATGTGCCTACTAAGTCTAGAGTTCTAAGGGAAGTGGATGGAAACAATTAGAATATTAGTGTGTTGGCTGACTTTGACAAAAGAAAGGGTTGAACTAGGGGAATAACAGGCCAATTTATAAGCATAAATGAAAGGAGTAGAGAGATATTTATGTCATCAAAGGCCTGGAAAAGCCTATTACTTTTTGACACCAAAGAGGTAAAAAGAGATATGATTGAGATCTTAAGCAAATAAAGCCCAGTAATTCCTTCCAACTGAATAAAGTGGATCAGCCTGGAGGCAATGTTCAGATTAAAGATGGTACTTTTTTACCTAACCAAGATTATTATTTCAAACAATTTTCTTGCCATTAGGTTGAGAGAGGAGGGCATGGAGAGACAAGGATGCAAAGAAATAAGACAAATTTGAGAACTATGTTTAGAAAAGAACTTTGGAGAAGAGGGAATAATACTCTCAAACTCATTTTACAAGGCCAGCATTACCCTGGTACCAAAGCCAGACAAGGACACTGTAAGAAAAGAAAACTACAGGCCAATATCCCTGATTAGCATAGATACAAAATTTCTCAATAGCAAACCAAATTCAACAGTATATTACAAGGATTATACACTGTGATCAAGTGGGATTTGGATATTAATGAAAGAAATTGAAGAAGACAAATAAATGTTGCCTGGATAACTGAGAATTATCCATCATTTCCAGTGCTGTGCTCTCTGTCCATTGTTAGATTATGAGTCCTCCAGGACCAGATCTTTCTGTTTGGATTGAGCCAGCAGAAGGAAAATCAGCTCTATCAGACTAAGCCTGAGAGGGCAGGGCTTCCCCCTCACAGAGGCCTGCAGGAGTAGGACACAGCTCATTCCTAGAGCCTTTCCTGCCATGCTGAAGCTCTCTAAATCCTTGCAAATGTTCTGTGTTTCTTAAGAAGCATTCATGCTGTGATGGAGTTTATTGATACTTAGTCTCTGAAGCTTCACTTTGCTTCCTTTCTATATGAAGAAAGAAATAAGGAATTGGTTGTTGCTATAAACCCCAGATGTTACTGTTTATTAGAACTAGTCAGACCCAAGAAGAGCAGATAACCTCGCATTTAGCAAAGAGTGGTTCCAGTAAAGGCTGAAAGAGATACTCAATTTTGTCACCCTTGACAAAACTGAGAACTAAGGCCGTCGCCATCAGAGGGGGGCTGCCAGGCTTCATAGGCAGCCTGTTAAAAGAGAGTTAAAAAAAAAAGTCCTTTGACCCTTCACATCTGTGCTTCTGTGCCTTACCCCAGAAGTATATTTTGGATTTCTGGCATCATTCAAATGTCAAGTACTCTTGCTTTTTTTTGCCCCACAAATACAGTCCTACTCAACAGACAAGGGCTCACAAAGCATTGTCATTATGAGCTCTGGTCACTGGGGAGAGGAGGGGATCAAACGTCACCTCAACTATGGACTCATCAGGAAGCAGTTTCATTAAAGACGCTTCCTGTGTCTGCCAGATTTCTCCCCTAAGAATTATTTTCAAAAGTGGGGAAAAAATGAAATGTTTAAATCAGGAAGAATTTCTGCTTCAGCTTCAAGAAATGAGAATGTATTACATCTAACTACATTGACAATGTCTTGGCAAAAAGAAAAAGAATTGTGATATTTTACATAACAAATAATGGAAAACAGGCAGTTTATAATTCAGCTATTAATGAGAAATGTACAGAAAGAAAAGGAACTTTTGAATTTTCTAAGTAATAGAGTAAAAATAAAAAGTCATGAAATTAAGAATAGGCAGCACTGGAACCACTCATCAATGCAAAGAAGTGTATAAGTGAAGAAATTTTTTTTTCATTTTTTTTGACATTTTTTATTGATTTATAATCATTTTACAATGTTGTATAAGTGAAGAAATTAATCTGCCTACATCTAACAAGAATAAAGGAAACCCATACATGATAGCATAGAAATAAGTTAATTAATCTTCAATTTAAACTTCTATTCTCAAAGCGGATTATTACCTATTGAATGCTTTTCAAATTTCATTTCTTAGCACCAGAACCCTCTATTTTCCAACTGAAATCTTATAGAACAGATAAGTGTGAAGCTACTTTTTTTGAACAGGAACTTCAGAATAAGGAGGCCAGAACAAAACTCGCTTGATCTTCTCTATTCTCCCTGCAGCAGACCCTAGACTCCTCTCAGGAAATAGTTTGAAAATCATCAGTTTAAGTAAGGTGATCTATTATATAAGTCTAAGTAAGGCTTTATTAAAGTGGTCCTGAGTAAAACTGGTTACGAGAAAAAAAAATTTTAAAAAAAATTTCTAAAGCAGAGTCCTTAATCCATTCTGGTACCACTAATCAAAGTATCAAACCCTAAACAAGTTGTGACTGTCTTCCACAACAGAGGTATAAACTTGAGACTCCCTTGTCAGTGAGCTCTGTTCTTTTTTGCCTCAGACGTTAGTATGTGGGGTCCTAAAGCTGCTTGAGACTTTCAAACAACTAAATTCCTAGTTGGAAATATCAGCTACTGCTGTGGAAGGAAGGGAATTATGCCTATTTATATTAAAAAAAACACACACACACACAGAAAAAAGTCTTTAACTTACCCAGAGAACAAGGACATTCATGAGATGGTCTATGTGTGTCCGTTTAAAGGCAGACTTTCCACCGTTCTGCATTAATTTGGTGTCTGGCCCTAAGTGAAACAGGGAGACATAACCTTTTAGAATCACTGAATATTCTCAAGAGTATTGAAATTGGGTTGAAATGTACCTTTATGATTGCTTTATCAAACTCCTTTCCAATACTAGGGGATAAAGCCCTGGAGAAAGGCTCATAGTTGGTGTCAATAACTCAAAGAATGGAAAATTTGTTTCTAAGGATAATCTCAACTACTTCTGCAAACTGCATCCATGCTGACCCCTCCCTTTCTAGGCAGCATCTTAGACAGTCTAGTCTTTGATAGATAAGTCAGAATAGGAGCCACTGGCTTCTCTTGCATCTGGTTTATTTAGTTTAGAAAAGGGATTTTCTGATAAGGAAATCCATACCTTTTGAGGAAACCCACCGGTGGATGAGGTTCTATTTAAAGTTTCTAACTAGGAAAAGGAGAAAGGAAAAGGCCGAGGCAGTGTTTTCTTCTGAGGTGGAAGCTTGGCTTGCTTATTTATTTATTTATTTATAATTAATTAATTAAGTCCATTTAATTAATTTTTAAAATGGAGGTGCTGGGGATTGAACCCAGGACATCCCGCATGCTAAGCACCGCTCCACCACTGAGTCATACCCTTTTCTCCTGAGAGGGAAGCTTAGGAACTGACACCTCTCCGGAGCTGAGAGACAGAGACTGTCTTTATAACAGAGCAGACAGTAAATAGAAACAAAGAGCTTTTAATGGCCACTGGGACCAGAGCTGGAAATTACTGACCAGAGATATGGCTGCAGAGAAAACATAGGAGGCTTGAAAGAAAATATAAGTAATTTCCCTGGCCTTTTACCATCTGATTATTGTTCTTACATATACTCTAATGAAGGAATTTCGTCAATGCTTACTCATGGGGGAGCTGGGACTTTCCTGACATATGGGCAAACACTGAGAATGCAGGGCATAGGCTATGCCATTCTTTCCTCTAAAGCATTCCCTGAAGGGCCTGAAGTCATGAGAAGTTTGGCTCAAGCCTGGAAGTCAAAAGAGACACAATCTCCCACGGGTCTTTACAGAGACTGACCCTCCCCCAAGTTTCGAGAAGAATGTGGGGATCATGGTAGAACTTGGATATCATGTAACAGGATCAGCAACTCAGTTCTACTCTGAATACTTTGGGGTGCTCTTAGGCGGCATCAGTTCTCCTCTGCTCTGAGCTTCCCAAAGCCCCCAAAAGATTTTTCACTACCGTGTATCCAACCAAGACTCAGAAGAAAACATGAACTAAATTTGGGCTGGTTGGCAACCTCACTGCTATTGCTTTAGGGAAAATTTGCCGAAAAATGAGCTTTTTTATGTGTGGCAATGTGTGGGGCTAGCTGCTGAAGCAGAGTGAAGAAACTAAGTCTACTTCAAATCTTTGGGTCTGGGACTGGTCAGCATACAAGCTGCCACTCTAGGTCAAGAATCAGTGAAAAAAGTTCCACCAAGGCCTCCCTGGACTCTTAAGCTTCTCTCTAGGGTTTGGATCCCATTATTTTCCACAGAAGTGAGGCATCCAGAATCCCTATGTCTAGGGGTGAATTCTCTAGAAGGGGAGCTGAGTTGAGTGGTATTCACTGTGGGAAACCCTCCTCAGTGCCATCTTCAGGGTCCCATCTTCTTACCATGATTGTTGTCATCAATGCCCACTGTCACTGAGGGCATAGGGGAGCAATGAAGCTTCCTCCACTTTCCTGCACAACATCAAAATCCAAGACAATCTCTCACTAACCATAAGGGATTATGGTTCTAAATGCCATCTCAAGATGGGCCACTGCTAATGAGCCACATGTGCCATTTCTCTGCTGTGAACACTTCATATTGTATTTTATATTCTTCATAATGAGCACTGTGCTTATTCTCTCCTCATGGGAATTATGCACACGTATACACTCCCCTTCCACATGTTCCCTGTACATATGCTAACTCTATGTATATACCTTCTCTTGTGTCCAGATATGGTTAGAAGGACTCATGAGTGCTCCATGGTCTTGGAACACAAAGACTTCCTCTAACAAAGGCAGGGCTCATATGCTAGCAGCTCATTGCTTGGGGAAAAAAGTCATTTTTTTCCTAAGAAAAAAGTTTTTTCTTAAATCTTCCATCTATCTATCCATCTACCTGCCTCACTTTCTATCTGTCTCAAAAGCCATAGTGTTTTGGTATATTATCTGAGCACCATATCTACAATCCCGAAAACTAAGTATCCACAACGCGGCTACAAATAGAATGCAGCAGGCTGGGGGTCTGTGGCCCCAGGAAGACGTACCAGTAAAAACCACCAAGCCATAGCACCAATCAGTATTCCTAATGACGCAACCTCGGAAAATCAGCCTATCATGGTTCAGGATGTAGTTTTTTCCCTTATAAGTCAGTGTTCCTGTGAATCTGTCCAACCTGTTATTGGGAGACTCACATCTCACTTCTCCTGAAAACAAACAAACAAAAAAGGAATAAGAGTCCTGACTCTGTAATCTTAATTTACAGGACAGAGGAGGCTCAACAGAAAAGAGGAAGGAACGTCCCTCTTTCAAAATATATACATATCTTTTTCCTATCATCTCTCAGCTGCTGCCCTTTTCTCACCAGCTCCCTTTAGAAAGGCAGACAAAGGTTTCTGGGCATCAAAGAAGAGTAATTCTGTGACATGGGTTCATCCCGAGAGAGAACAACTCACATAACTTATCATCCATCAGTACTTCCAGATCAAAAAAGCTGAATCTGAAGAAATTTTAAAACTACTTAGAGCAAATCTAGTATTTTTTAAAAATGGAAATAATTTGACTTTTTCACAATTAGTAAAGTAAAAGGGGCCCTTTGTAAATATATATACAACATTAAAATGAGAAAGGAAAAAGTAAAATTGACCCACTGCCTAGAGATAAGTGCTATTAAACTTCTGCAGTACAACCTTTCAAGATTTTTCCTATACATAAACTCATAAACATATATATGTTCCCCCAAATAAGTTTATGTTATATATACTATGCATAGTGCATTGTATTCTTTTTTTACTTAATACCATGTTGTATTTTTCCATGTAAATAAATATCAACTTGCATATTTTAAAATAAGTGATATAGAATCCACTATACAAATGTACCAAACTTTATTTAACCAGATCTCTACTGATAAAAAATTTGGGTTGGCAAACCTATTTCCTAACTTACCATCGAAGGCAGACAGCAGCTTCAGGTTATCTTCCATGTCACTGGTAACTGAGATGGCTTGTTTCACTTTCAGGTTGGTTTCACTAGAGTAAAGGATGCACAGTCACCAGAGTACAAGACACATACACAACAGCAGCACAGGTCCAATTTCACCTCCTTTAAAAAGAGATGTTGCCAACAGAACTTGGGCTACAGGCTTGAGCAGTAAGAGTCACTCCCACTGATATCCTTTCTCAAGGACAGTACTGAGGTGGGATGGTCCCACAAGGAAGCTGAGTGTTAGCTCACTCACTCCCCTCTCTCTCTGCTCTCACTCCCTGTAACACATCACCATTGTTTTAACCATCCTATGAGAGATTGCTGGTCAGATGAAGAAGAGAAGCAGAAGAAATATTACAAAACAACCAGGAGGTGGTACCTGCTCCCTTCAAGAGTAAGAAGCAGGTCCTGGTACGAACTTGAATGCACCTCCAAGTAAACATACTTCTCATCTTATATTTACAGGACCCATGAAGGGATCCCAATTAACCATTTGCTGATACAGAAATAGACAGAAATAAAAAAGAAGTCACATTTCAGAAAGTTTGTGGGTGCCAAGAGGAATAGCTGTAAGAATACAGATTGATACAAAATTCCACAGGACAAGCTCTCTGAAGATAGCCTCCATATTCCTAAGCTTCTGCACATCAGTGAATTTCTACCTTAAATCCATTCTAGAACATGGTGTTTTATCAGTACTTAAGTACCTCCATACTCACTCCCCCCACCCTGAAAACTTTGGAACTCTATTCTGAAATTTTACAGCTCTGTTAATCTCTTTCCTGCCATTCAGCACTACTAAATTTTGTCAGAGAGTGCCTCCAGTATAGAGAAGAATAATATATTGTTAATCTGCCAAGATTCTGCACCCAGTGGATGCTCAATTGTTGCTGTCAAGAGCTCAGCCTTAGACTTGAGGTTTCAGAGTCTGGCCTTCTATCTTATCTGGATATTTCTAGCCTCTTTTAGCACTTCATTCTCTGCATCATGCTCTCCCTCAGTGAGAAATCACTGTAAGCTGGCACAACTGTCTTAGTGGAATATCAGGAGGAAACACTCACCCATCCAGTTCAGCTGTCTCTATATACGTCAGACTGTAGGGCTCACTGCTAGAGAGTAATAGTATATCAGCCTGCGGTCAGAAAAGTCAGAGAAGATAAGGCAGGAAGGCAGAATCTTAACATAACAGGGTGACAAAACAGATGTCCATTCTAAGAATTTTAGAGACATTTGGTTTACTTTCTCTGTCTAGGACCCATCACTGCTACCACTACTCCCTTCTCCCAAACTAGTCATACTTTACCTGTAGCTATGGTGAGAAGTGGACAAAAATAAACTTCTTACCACATGAGCTGATGATCTCTGGATGCAGAGTGAGGCAGATGAAGGTCACCAAAAGCAGTGGCCATAGAAGTGCTAAAAGGGTTCCTACTCAAGCCAAAAGAGAAAAAGCCACAGCCCAAAGAGGTACTCACCGTGACAAGCTGATTATTTTCTAGTTTTATTATATCTCCCACTTGGATATTCATCCATTTGTCTGTCACTATTCTGTAAGAAAATGAACATTGAATGCCTGTATGCCTGCTCTGAAATTTCACCACAGCCCTGTTTTGACAATCAAGGGGGAAAAAAAAGTTGAGATGAACTCAAGGCTCAGAGGAGGAAAAAACTGGTGTCTGACACATCTTTGCTACAATAAAGAATGGTGTCCATTTCTCTTGACTTTAGGGTATGAGTTTTCTAAACCTCTATAAAGGTATATGTAGACATACATGCACATTTTTCTTTAAGTAAAGTAATATATGCATATGGTAAAAAATAGTTCAAATAATAAAGAAGTATATAAAAGGAAACAGTAAAGCCTCCTCTCTCCCCAGATTCTAGTTTTGCTTCCCCAGGGTAGACATCGTAATTTTTTGCATTTTTTTCTAGAAAATATCAATCCATATAATCATATACAAGATACACATTTAAAAGTTACAGGACACATGAAGGGATCCCAATAACCATTTGCTGATACAGAAATACACGAGAGACAGAAGTAAAAAAGATAATTTTCTGCACTTTGCATTTTTCATTTAATAATATATCTTAGAGAACAGTTATAGAAGACGTGGCTCATTCCTTTTGATAACTAAAATGTGGCTTTTAACTAAAGATGCACTTGTAATCAGAATTACTGAAAAATTAAAATGACAGAAATCACAACTTGAAAAAGAAACTTTTCCAACAGCAGCTCTGCTCAAACCCAGGTGCTCTAGAAAAGGGAAGCCACTTTCTGGAATACAGACTGTTTCAACAGTGAGCCTCCCCCCAAGTGTTAAATTAGTCAGATGTTCACTGGCTTACAAAGTCTAACCAGGGCCCTGCTTGTGAACTCCTACCCTGAAGCCACTCTAAGACAAATTCTTCTCCAATAATCTTATAAATCCCAAGTGCTGACACTACTTGGGTAATTCACTGGACTAAATTCATTTGGTCAGTACATCCATAGCCTTGCAATTTCTAATACACTAAGTTTTATCTTTTCTATTTCTAGCACCTTCCTTCTTTTCTTTTAAAATTTTCTTTTTAATCACAATTGACTTCTTTGGAAGTATGTTATGAGGGGCTTCAACAGACCAAAACACTTGAGAAAATAATTCACAATGAGTCAGAATCAGCAGCCACAATAAATAATAGGATTAGATGCCCAAGGACTTCATGTAATAGAATTATATGATTAAAACCAAAGCTACTGATACATATATAATGGAATATTTCTCAGACATAAAAAAGTATGAACTTTCGCCATTTTCAATGACATGGATGGGCTTGGAGGGTATTATGCTAAGTGAAATAAGTCAGATGGACAAAAACAAATACTGTATGATATCACTTATATATGGAATCTAAAAAATTACAACAAACTAGTGAATATAATTTAAAAAGAAGCAAATTCACATTTATAGAGAACAAACTAGTGGTTACCAGTGGGGAGAGGGGAGAGGGAGGGGGAATATAAACATAGCAGATTAAGAGGTACAACTATTATATATAAAATAAGCTACGAAAGTATATTGTACAACACAGAGAATATAGCCAATATTTTATAATAACTATAAATGGAGTATAACCTTTAAAAATTGTGAATTACTATATTATACACCTATAACATATATTATATTATACAACTACACTTCAATTAATATATATTATATATTATACTTTTAATATATATTATATATTAAAAAACTATAGCTACTGGGTATTCTTAAGGTCACCATGAAATAAAGACTGGACCTCAATCATGAATTCCTTCAGGTTTGTACTTCTTTGCGATTATGCTTCTGCACACACTGGTCACCTTTCCTTTCATACAATCTCTATTTGTTGAATCCCTCCCCATCCCTTAAGGCTAGTACAAACATCACCTCCTCCAGAAAGTCTTCCTTGATTCCTTTAGCCAGCTATGATTGCTCATTTTTATTAATTCTTGTGATAATTTTTGTATCTCTTATGATAATCTCCATATTTTGCCTTATACAGGAATCATGCTTGCCTCCCTCCATTCCTGCCAAAGGTAAATTACTCAAAATTTTTCAAGACCCCACCAAATATAAACACTGACCCAACATTTTAGTTAGCTATGACCAAACACCACAGCAATGGGGTCAACACCAATACTTTCTTTAGAGTGTTAACAAAAAGATGTCCTAACCAGAGTCTGTAGTAGAATGGTCAGTAAGTCATGTAGAATCCATTGATGTTCTAAAGACAGATGTCTCTATGCTGACTAGAAATAATCACTTGCATATTAATACCATGTCATATTTTATTAATTGTTTTAATATATATTATTTCATTTTTCATTTTTTACAAGCATCCTCTAAGGTAGAGAATATTATCTCCACTTTATAGATAAGAAATATGAGGCCCAGAGAGGTCTGAGGTCACGTAGCAAATTCAAAGTATGCTAGATCTAGAAAAACAAATTCTTCTTATGTCCAACCTGAGGTTCTTTTCACTGCCTTAAATTACCTTTCCAAAGCACCCAGCACATCAAGCTTCAGCAAGACCAATCCTCTCCCAAAGCCAGTCCTACCTAAACTGGCTTCCCTAGAAGGACTTACCTGCCATTCATCAGCACCAGAACAGAACGATTGTTGACTTGGTTGTCATTTTTATGCCTTTTCTAAAATTACACAAGAAAATGTTCAGGAAATAGACATAGAGCAAACTCCATGTAGGAGGTTAATATTCTGAAGTATTATTCAATGTAGTTCCCCTTTTTTATAACTCTCCCTTATCCCAACCCCCAACAAGACCTTCTACCATTAAAACCAGGCAAAGAGGTTGATTTTCTCTGAGAAGCTGAGAAGGGAGGCCAGAGAAAGAACCAAGGGAGAAGAGAGTGACAAAGTCTTGGATTTAATGTCAAGAGTCAAAGCCTAGGGTAACGAGAAAAGACAACTTCTGTCAAAAGCCACAGAGGAGAGAATGCAAAATGATGGGCAGGACTGGAGCCTTGTACACATTGGTAGGTGCAGGGAAGTTAAGTTTTCACAGGCATACCCTTCCCCCGACCCCCAACCACAGTCAACACAAGAAGCTTCTACAGTGGATGCAATGAGGAAAGAGGAATAGAGGTCTTCTACTCAAAGACCAAAGGGGACAAATAAGGGTATGTCCTGATGCTAAGATGAATCCCCTCCTGCCTGTTGAGATTATTCCCTGGAGAAAGGGCAGGACTGGGAAGAGGGCAGAAAGAATCCTGAATATTTGGAGAATATTTATCCTAAAGAGACTGAGTTCTAAACTAGAAGCAACTGGGTGTGTCATTCTGAATTGGCAAGTTTCGTTTTTAGCTCTCATTAAAAAGGGCTGGGATAGTGGAGTGGTGGTTGTGCACTACACTGAGTTTAGTTGTAGAAAATTAAAGCTACATTTTTCCCCACATCTGAGTTGTGATTGAAATTTAAACACTATATGTGCTAATTCTGGGTTTAAAGAGTTATAGAGTTAAAGAGCTGGAGAAAAAAGCTCTTTAAACTTGCGTCTAAAAATCTATCCTGACAAAGTCAGAAGAACTCTCTTAGGAAATCCTCAAGTAGATCAACAGGATGAACTTCCAAGCCTCACTAGTAGGCATGGTACTGGATCCTCACCCTCACCCTTCCAAGACCAGCCTGCGGTGGGGAGCAAAGAGGAAGCCATGCAGCACTGACTGGAAGCCAGCTTCTCCTCCAAGGCCAGGAAAGGCGTTAGCCTCTGTTATGCCATGATGCTTTCTAAACTGAGGGTTCCTAACTATGTGCACCTGGTAGAATTGAAAGGTGGAAAGGGAAACAGGGAGACCTGGAGAGGAGAAGGGGAATGTTGAAAGGGAAAAGAAATGTAAGAACAGGAGAAAGTGGGAGAGGCAGAGGGACAAAAAGAGGAACATAAAAATGAGAGAAAGGGGAATGCAAGAAGAAGGGTGAGAGCAAATCCGGAGACAGCAAACCCAGGGAAGGAAGAGGTAGGTTATTAAAAAGGACATGGAGGGCAGCCTGGAAAAAGGTGGCAGTAGGAAGACAGAAAGGCCTTGTGTTACTCTTTTCTGGGTATGTACAGATCACCAATCTTGGGCTTAAGGGAATTACATATTCCTCTGGGGTGGATGAGGACACAGGGAAAGGACACGTCTCTTTCCTTTCAGTGCTTCTTCCTAGCACTAGGCAGTTCTGGGAAGTCCTTACCCCCAGGCTGACCATGTACAGTGAGGGACTAGAGGCCCAGGAGGCTACTTCACCATGTCATCGATGCCATCTTTCACCGCTGTTATGGATAGCACCACCA